AGAATCTTTTGCTTTTAACTTTGCTTCTTTATTTTTCTGCTTTTATGGTTCCATAATTTGTTTGTTAGTATTTCTTTTATCTTGGATTATCTTAAAGAAAAGGTTTAGTAATTACTATATATATTATAAGTACATATTGTTTTAATTTCTGTACATATGTGATGTACCTGTCATTTAGAAGGCTGTGCCCATATAAAGAAGATATATATGCTTATATGCTATGATCATTTCTTTGTCAAAGAGGCATGATTATTGATGCTCCAGCTAGTGTCATCATGTATTTGAATTAACTAAATTGCCATAACATCCCACCATGAGTTGTACTTCTATTTTTTTACTACTACACTCCAAAACAAAACTTCTACTTGATGAGTACATGCAAATGAACAGCAAAAGTGTGTAAGGACAAATCTTCATCTTTTACAAAAAGACTTAGTTTCCCCTCGTTTAAGGTCTACTGCACCGCCTTTGAAAAAAAAGAACATATTTGTGTGGTAGGTTACATGAAATCAAAGCATGTGAATGCATCTGGGGTAATTTTTTTTATTAAGTACAAAATTTCAAGACATTCAGCAGTTGACTAAACTTAAACACAAGACTACTTGATGATAATGATGTAGCATCAACGTACATCAATATTTGTGAATTATCATCCAGATTTATTTTTTGTGACTGTATTGAGATGAGTCATGAGAATTAGATATTGAGTAAGAACCATGTTAACTTTCATGGATTTTGAAAATCTAAATGTACCAGAAGTAGTATAGCACATACGGAAGTGATATTCTGAAATGCTTTTTAATTTCTATTTTTATGTCTTTCTGTGTGCCTCTTTGTGAAAATTAAGTTTGATTATGAGTCAACGTTGTGGTTTTGTCCTTCTTTTCACCTAAACTTCTGCTGGTACAAGTAGTGGTGACCTCTGCAACTGCAAGAATTTTGATATGTGTCCATAGCCCTGGTAATTTTTAAAGCATTATTGTGTGAAAAATAATCCTTCATTGAACGTTTTTTTTTCACTCAGGTTCTCTAACTGCTTGCTCTTTGCAATGGAGGTTTCAGTTATTTTTTTTTTTTTCTTACTTTCTTTGAGCTTTTACAGACTGTCGAGTCTTCCTAGCTGGTAGCTTCATAAATACATGTATATGCATGCTAAAAGATATTGTTTAATGTAGACAGTAGATTTTTTTTTTCAATATGTACTAATTATTTAAGTAACATATGTACTTTTCCTCAGGATTTCTCATCCGAATTTATGAAAACTATGCTACATAACTGTGATAGTGCACTCATGAGGGACCACTGTGTGTTTTTCTGGCTGAATGGACCCTTAGAACTAGGTTTTGAAAGGTGTTTTTGATAACTTAGTTCACTGGGATCCAGAAGGTCCAGGGAATTAAGCTTTGGCGCTTTTGCAGGTAATTTTTTAGCCAAATATGATATGATGACTATGTTAATTGGTCCTTATATGTTTTTGAACAGGAGAAATATGGGGCTTGTGGTTGTTCCTTTAAAAATTTTTTCCTTTTCTTTTCAAGTAGGAGTAGGAGAGTACCTCACAGCATGTTTCTGACTACTGATTTTTCCAAAAGACACATAGTAACTTTTAAGCATCTGTCACTGTCATTTGTAGACAGAATTTATGAAAATGAAGTGGAATGGACAATTTTACATGCCTGTGGGACGACCATTTGTCTTTAGTGAATTTTTGTGGAGCTATTGACTGTTAAAGTCTTTATTCCATCCAAGCTATGCTTTTGTCAATCAGTATTGTGTTTCAAGTCTGTTTTGCCCATGATTTTGCACCTTACATAAGTTTTAGCTGCTTTACAGTAACGTAACAGAGTAAATATTTAGTGTTGTGCTCCACTGTTTAGAGGAATAGTTTTCTTTTTGCAAACTTAATTTTGTACTGACTTGAAAATTATTGTGGTTTACCAAGTTTTGTTTCAATTTTGACTTACCAGAGTATGATGGTAACTGTATGATAAATCTTCCTATTGATTCGTTCTCATTGATGTTAGCCAAGTAAGCAATTAGGGAGCAAATCCTCATTCATTCCAGATCTAGGCCAGGTTCTTCTCCGTCTTTTTTTTTTTTTACAGGATGAAGAGGTAGTTCTGTAAAAATATGTGTGTGTGATTTTTAAAATAAAATGTTAAAACTCACATGAAGCGTGTACTGACTTGGTTTGTATTGAAATTGCTGATTGTTCCTCTTTTGGCTCTTTTAGGTCAAGAGGATTGGAGAAGTGTTTCAATAGTTTCATATTAACATACTTACACTTAAACAGCTCCAACAAAAGTTTCCGTAAATTCAGATCGAACAATTAGACCAGATCAGAAGCTATATGTGTCAATGACCCTGTAGACATAGTTTTATGTTGTTGTTTTTTTACCCGATACTCGTCATTGCTCTTATGCAGGTGTTGGAGCTATTTCGACTGTACATATAGTCTCCTCCCCCCCCCCCCCACACACACAAGTGTCTTGTTAAGCCAACACTTTATTTCTCCCCCCCCCCCCCCCCCACACACACATAAAAGATAAACGTAATATCTTTCCTCTCTCTCTCCTATTCTCTCTCAAGGGAGATGGTGGTCACTACGGTGAAGTCTGCTTCTCCTTCTTTGAAAAATATAAAGTAGGCCATAAATACCCAGATCAGTTTTGTGCACAGTGCGGTTGATGTTGAGCTGACTTGCCCAAAGTTTCTCGTGGAATTTTTGTGGCACGTTGTGGCAGATCAGTAGGCCTACAGGTTGTGTACCTAAAACATGCTGCTTTTACGGGCGAACTGTGAGATCAGAATATAATTTGTTATTAAAGGGGAAATGTGGCTTCGGTAGTCTAGTGGTTAGGCTAACGGACTCGTGATCATGAGGTTGCGGGTTCAGAGGTTCCAGCCTCAGACCCGTTTTTGTGTCCTTGGGGAAAGGCACTTTACACGAATTTTCCTCACTTCACCAAGGTGTGAATGGGTACCCGGCCATAGACAGCGGAAGATCTTGTCAGTATATTAGTGTTTCAGCACCTCTAAAATGGCAGCTTGCACGGTAGTATGCTTCCCACTTGATTCCCAGTTAGTTAAGATTGTTTCAGACAGCTATCAGGTAGGTGTTCTGGGGTAATCATATAATGTAGATTGTAAAGTGCAGAGAGCTTGCTGTTGAGCGGGAATTTGCATTACAAATAATACAATATGCTATCCACTGTTATTATTCAATATGAATCCATGACTTTCTTGAACAGAAGGTGACAAAGTGCAAACTTTCGATCAGATTCTTTCATAAGTTACGTATTTTCCATGTATATATTGCTTTAATCAAATTTAGGATTGCATGCTCTTTTCTATCGATTTTTAGGACCACCAAGGGATCTTTAAGTTGTGCAACTCATGGACCTCCGAAATTTTTCACCGTTATCCGAGCAGGCTAGGTGTTCGATCTTACCTACCTTAATATCAGGGATGTACCTGAAAGACAGGATAGAAGTAGAAAGAGTTAGGAGTAAAGGAGACAGGAGCCCAGAGGGAAAGTGGGGGGGGGGGGGGGGGGGGGGGGGGGGGCAGAAAGTAGAAACGAAAGCAGATGACAGAACTCGAATAGAGAACAGAAGAGGAGGTGAAAGGAAAGAAGTAAAGAGTAGAATTTTTTTTTCGTTGTCCTCATGTTTCAAACCTGAGACCTATTCAATAAGAGGAGAATACCGCGTTTCTAGACCACGAGAGTTCCAGTATGATTAGTAGATGAGGTGCTGTGTCTTTTTGATTGAGACATGCTATGGGATGAATGGGCCACTGTGCATGCTCTCTTTGATTACAACGACAGCTCTGATCCGAGAGAATAGAATCTGCTGACAAAATCTCATTATAATTCTCGACCGGTTCAGGTAAGTTGATAGGTGTGTCAATTTCTTTTAAACTCACAAGTTTTTGAAGAAAGAGGTTGGAATATATAATATATATGGGTGCAGTGACAGTTTTAGACAGTAATTTCAAGTGTCATGTTGACTTATGGTAAAGATGACCCTGGTTCAAATCCCTAATGACACATTCATGTACTCGGGTTAATTGGGGGATGCTTTCAAAGCTTAGATTTTTGTTCGATCAAATCATATCAGAGACAGGTGTTAAAATCGGAGGTCCCACTTCATAATCTTACACAGTGTTTAAATAAAAGATCATTTAACACATACAGTTATTGAATCAAATTAATACTAATAGGTTTAAGTATAAAAGTTGAAATTTGAAAGGCACATCATGGATGTTGTCCCACAATTCCTGTATTAATGTCCCTTGCTGAAACTTTACAAAGTAATGTAGACTTTGCTGTTACCTTATTTGATGAGATATTCGACCTCTTTTACACAAGCCCAGAGTCAAATCTCAGTCTTGACATTGGTTGCTCTGGCAGTTGGTCTTTTTTTTCAGTGTCTCTGTCCAATTCTAGTGGAGAAGGAAGTTTGCACCACCACGTGTAGCACAAGTGTCCTTCACCATCCCATAAAAGGAGTTAGAGAACAAGGCATTCCCATCAGCGCTGCAGTATGTCCTTAGCATACTATGCATATATAATATACCAATATACGTGACACTGTGAAATTGATGCTCTTGGCCTTGTTTACACGTGCTGATAAGAATTTTACACTTGTCAACAGCTGGACTATATTTAAAAAACAACAACCCAACAATATTGTTGAAGGTTTATATAATGCAAAATATGCCAAGGACATATAGCAGTACTGGTGGGAATGCCTTGTCCTTTAACACCTATTATGGGATGGTGAAGGACACTTGTGCTACACGTGGTGGTGCAAACTTCCTTCTCCACTAGAATTGGACAGAGAAACTGAAAAAAGACCAATTGCCAGAGCAATCAATGTCAAGACTAGTTATGTGGGCCATACTAATGTCGGACGTTTATTTGTATATCCGTGACATACTTAGATTCTCTGCAAACATTCTTCCCATTATGGAGAATAGAAAGAAGAAACCCATCATTCAAAACTAATACTTTATTATATACTGGTACAAGTTTTTGTAAAGATGATGTAAGAGACCCAAAAAGCAACACCAAAGGTCAAAACGTAACTCTTCACAAAAAATTGAAAAACAGAAAATTTGAATTCACAACACGGAACATGTGAAACAAATACCTCAGTAATAATGGTATGAGAAACAAATGTTGACAATAATATATTTTTTTAGTGGTTTTCTCTGATTTAAAGACTAACCCTTTTCCCTGTTGTGCTAAGTGATGAAAAGAAACAGAGTTTATAAAATGCATCAGATTGAAGATTTTGTTGCTTCTTCGAGGTTTTCCACTGCCATACCAATCATACGCATTGTGTTTTTGCCGTGAGACATAACTTTACTCTAGGAGACCAAAATATCAAAGCACAGTTTGTGCTTGTGGGGGAAAAATTCAAAGGGAAGGAAACAACAAGACATGCATTTACCTTTCAGTGAAGCTGAAAATTCTGACGTTTTACCTTAACATGTACAAAGATCCTGTTCCTAGAAGCAGCTTGCGTTTTTAGATGTTCAAGTAGATAAACTGATGCTTTTGTTTATATAAATTTGTTAAATCAAACAGACTGATAAACAAGAACTAATCCACTAATTAAAGTTTTTGGGTGGGAAAAACTAAGAAAGAGTAAATAAATTTAATACAGCCACCCAGGGTTATGTGTGTAAACTAAAGAGGGAAAGTTTCTCTTCTGATTATACAGATGTTAAACCATATTCGGTGTACCAGAGGAGTAATCCTTCTGTTGGTCTTTTTCAGTTTTTGTTTTTCAGACCAAAGCTCTAAAGTGCCATTATGCTAAGCCAAAAGTAAACAAAACATTGCCTTGTTACTTAACAAGCGTATGAGGAATTCTCAATAGAAAATTTGTAGAAATGAAGTAAAATCCAACATGGTCATTTTCAAAATGAAAAAGTCTTTGGATAGGAGCCCCTGTGCTGTGAACAAATATGTCAACGAAAGACCTTATAGTTTAATTCCCCTCTTTTCTTCATGTTCTTAGTTACACAGAAAACTTTAATAATCTACAGGACATATTTGGAGCACAAAGACCACAACATTAGCAGATCTATGGACAACACAATTAACATGCGTTGAACACATAGCTATTGGTTATCCTTTGTTTTAATATTATTAATTTTTCAGATTACAGAAGGAAAAGTTGTCCTTCCAACTGCAAATGTTTAACTTCGACATCTACCTGTCTATAAAAGCAAAATATAGTAATGAATTAGATGGTTCCTCATAATACATGAAATAAGTGGGAAGTGTTAAGGGAGACTTTCAAACTTTTATGAGATTCTTTTTGAGAATAGGAAAGATTACATCACGTAAAATACATCTTTGAAAAGTTTCAAATTCCACAAGCTATAGATGCCAAGAAGAAAATGTTCTGAACAAATCACCATATATAGAAAAATTAACAATACAAAAATAAAAATAAAAGTAGATTGAGTAGATCTAGTGTATACATATATACATGTATGATAATTCTGCACTTTTTTCAAGAGGAAAACGGCAAAATACAAGTACAGAATACTGAAATTGTCAACATCTGTGTCTTCACATTATGCAGGCTTAGAAATAATGAAACCGTTTTAGTGTTCATATACAATGCTTCTACTCCAAGATAAAACTGAAATTGAGCTTTGTTTAGTTACTGGCCCAGGCATCAAGGAACTCTTGATAGCTCACACCATCACCATTAGGGTCAGCTTTGCTCAAAAGCTTGTCCAGACCTTCTTCAGAAATGTCCATGCCCACACTCTGTGCCAGCTGTCTGACCTCTCCCCGGTCAAGCTTGCCACTACCGTCTTTGTCAAGTCCCTTGAAGGTTGTCTCTAGCTCGCTGCGACTAACAAAGAAAAAAAATAGGGAAAACGTGTTATCACAAGGCACAATACCAAGAGTTTGTGCAGTACAGTGGAAAAAGAAATATAATTACATGTCATTTAGATGAAACTGTGGCTGGGCTACAGAATAGTTTTGGAATAAGCTACACTTCTGCAGTTAAACAAATATTTATTTGGACACAGGTTAATAACCCTGGTGTTGTATCAGATTCAATTTTTTTTTATAAAGTACACTAATACTGATCATCATGGCCATTACCATGACGACAATATTGATGATGATCATTATCACTGCCAAATGTCGCAAATGAAAATAGAAAGGAAACAAACTTGGTTGATTCCTTACAAATAAAACTGAATATTATATCAGAATCATCATTATCATAAAAGAGAAATGATAAAATACCCCTCCCCTCCACCATGGGCAAATCATTATGGCAGAAAACAGTGGCTGAAACCATTACCTAAACGACTACTATACTCGATACTCTCTCACGGGATTAGCAACAGCAAAATATCGTGTTGTACTATCAACCATTGAGAGGAAAGTAAATTTCTTTGTCATCCTACATCATTGTTTTCTTGCCATTCACAGGTACTTTTTACTTTCCAACACACACACACACACACACACATACACACACACACACACACACACACACACACACACACACACACACACACACACACACACGCATGCACACACAAACCCTCTCTGTGAATGTGAGTGAGTGAGTGAGTGCACGTGTGAGTGTGTGTGTGAGTGTGTGTGTGTGTGTGTGTGTGTGTGTGTGTGTGTGTGTGTGTGTGTGTGTGTGTGTGTGTGTGTGTGTGTGTGAGAGAGAGAGAGAGAGAGAGAGAGAGAGAGAGAGAGAGAGAGAGAGTTTCCCTAGCTTCCTTGCTTCTTCACTTCTTTTTTTTACCCCCCCCCCCCGAAAAAATAGAGTAGTTGTAGAAAATCGAAAGACAATATTCTCTTACGTTACTTCCTTTGGGTTCCTTTTGAACAGGGCATCCGTAAATTCATCCCATGAGATCAGCTTGTCCTGGTCAGTATCAATTTCCAGAAACATTTGCTGCAGAACAAAAAAGGTATAGGCCAACCATGATAAAGAAAATAATAGGGAACATGAGAAGATATCTTTCATCAAGATTATCGTCACCACACCTCTCCACTAGGCGCTAACTTTCACAAACGAAACACAAAACAACCCCCCCCCCCCTAAAAAAACCCAAAAAAAACCCAAACAACAACAACAACAACAACAACAAAAACAACAAAATACACACACACACACAAAAGGCTCATAATTTTTTTTACTGATGTCGAGCTCGATATCGTGGCCTACATAACTCTACAGTCCAGGTTGTAAAATAATTTTAAAAATGAATAAAGAGGTGCCATAACTGCATTCCAACGGGACTTTGACAGTTAAATAAAATGATTAATATTGTGACTCATAGTGATGAACTTCTATCTTGGTTCAATGTAAACACATCACATGAGATCGCTTGGAAAAAATCCGATAATTAATATGGAAACCCCTTGAGAAACAGTCACTAAGAACTGTTAATTATGGAAACCCCTTAAGGTAAACTGTCCATACACAAGCAAGCATTCAAGAACTCCCTGTTCCTACCAGCGCTTATCTTGTTTAGAGCTACGTGTCGGACACGGTTTACGTTTATTTAAAAAAGACGGATGCTTATGACACAGATACAGCGAGGCGGTACACATGATGAGAAGGATGGCGCTATCTTAAAACTATGTACGGTATCTCATATGTGAATTGTGCGTATGCATGAACTATTTTCAAACGATACCTGTAATGCAAAAACTCTATAGGTATAAAGTTTAGTAGACAGTGGTGAAACGGCAAAAAGATGCAGAGCTGGATGGAATTACATTAGTAATATCAAGCAGTCACAGCTGTGCTCGAAAATTATTTTTATTGTTTTTCAACTATCCTATGTCAATCAAATCACGTTAACGGTGCAACCGAGGTGATAGTAGCATTAATAAAAGTACTTATAGAGATTGTTTGTGACAGTGGAAAAGTGAGGGTTGCAGGAATGAGCCTTTAAAGTTTTTCTTTCCCTCCACCGTTTTTTTGACTTGTTTTGCCAAGCATCGAATGTCGACAGTTTTCTCTTTAGCCCATATTAAACTCACTCCTTCCTTCATTAACTACACACATTACAAGATCAATAATTTATAGACATGCTCAGAGCACAAGCAAGAACTATTATGATAGTGAACTTTTCACGGGGGAAAAATAATAAAAATAAAAGTTTGCATTGCCGTAGACAAATGTCATTTAGTGGATAAGTGGCCTGCAACATTCTGAAAAAATTGATTTTCTGTTCTGAAAAATAGGGTGCGTAGTATATTAATTTCAATTTTGTTGTTACATTCGCGTATAAAAATGCTGCCCATTTATCTATTTAAATATTTATACATCCCATCATCTACTATTTTACATCTTGATGCTCCCCCCCCCCAAAACGGTATAGATTTCTTGTGTTCTCTGATTTTAAAAGCGAACCCCCCCCTCCCCCCAAAACAAGCAGTGCCAAATTAATTGGTAGACTCCAGAAGCTTGCGCATGTGTATGTAAGGTTTTCTAAAGGGTGAGCACCATCAAGGACTGTACAATAAAGTTTTATGAAATATGAATTCTACCCTCCTTGTTCCCAACGAATCAATGACAAGTGCTTAAAGACAAATCAATGGGAGATATTTGACGTTTGACATCAGAGGAGTCAAATCAGATGTGGATAAATGGACAATGGCTCGGCAATCCTCAGTGGACTCCATTGGACGAGTCGGTATAAGGAAGATTGGTCGTGGCTCAGGTGAAAGTGGTCTATAGTCGTTACAACAGTCTGAACCAAGGGGCTGGTATAGGTTTGGAATACGGGTTCCTGTAGGACGGGTAACTTTCCGCTCTGCTGGGCTCTTGTTTCAAGATTATGCAACTTTTCTGGGTTCAACCTATATAAAACAAGCCGAGAATTTGACCTTACGGAAAGACGATTGGATGCTCAATAAAACATGTACATTATTATGAAGCGTTCTGCCCCCCCTCCTTTCTCATTGCCTGTCTATTAATAATGTATTAAAATAATATTACGCTGACCGACGCGCTGTTGTCATCAGAGCCATGTAAAGGGCACCCCCTGAAAACAATCATTTCTTCACGCCGAAGTAGAACCTTCATGTTGTTTCAACACAGTAGTGGTGACATAAAGAAAGAAGAAACAAAAAGGGGAGGGATGGAGGTAGGGGCAGGGGGTAGTGAAAACAAAACAAAACACAAAGCAAAAGAATGCCAACTAAACGCAGAACAAAGAATGTGTGGGGGTTTGTTTTTGGTGGGGGGGGGGGGGAATAATTATGATTGGTTTACAACGAGCATTGCGGGTATTAACAATTGCAATAATTGATAAAACCACAACAGAATCTGTCGATTCTTTCTTTTAGTTTTACAGATTTCAGATCCTGCGAGGTAAAAATGGCTGGCCTGACAGTGACAGTCTGATGTGGCCACTTAAGGGGGCATTGCTCTGTGTTAGTCCTCATAGATCTTTATTACTTGTTTCAAGACGCAGAATTAGCTAACGCTGACAGTTGACGAACCTGTTCCGAAACTGGCGACATTGTAAGATTGCTTCGAATCTCTTTTCATGACCATGGATAGTGGAAAGGAAGCAGCTGTGTAGATGTACGGCGTTGCCAATGCAAATATTACGTTCACACAATCATACTAAAAGGCTAAAACAGCACCTGGACATGGATGGCTGGTGCCTCTATTAATAAATCATTGATGGTCAGGTCAGGACAATCATACTATCAGTTTAAAAAAAAGTTCTTGTAAGAGTTTTACGGTATTTGCAACACAATAAGGTAATACAAGTGCCGAAGATTAGAGCTGTTACAAGAGAGTAACAAACACACACAAAAAAAGGAGGAGAGTTGAAGACGATAGATGTTTGATAGGACAGAAGGGACAAACCATACGAGAACACCCACCAACCATCCGCACTATACTATCAGGACACATCATACATTAGTGAGAAATGTTTACTACTGATTTTGTTTATTTAATCATACGGACGATACCGTGTTCACATCTTACCTTAGTATCACAGTAACGTTTGCCCAATACATCTTTGGCGCTTGGCAAAGACGCTCAAGTTTTGAGAATGGCAAAATAGGTCAAAGTCAAGCATTAGTCTAACCCCCCCCCCCCAACAAAACAAAACAAACAAACAAAACAAATAAACAAAAACAGCCCCGTCCATCGCTCTATTTTGTAAATAAAGACACTATACTTTGAGAAAAACAAAACCTATTATGACAAGAAAACCGGAAAAAGCGGAACACGTCCGAGGTTTCCTCATCCACCGTAATGCCCTCCTTACCTAGAGTTGCGTAGGCCTAAGGTGACATCAAGGGCTGCCACGTTTTGACAAACGAGCACCACTCTACCCCTGTCGCCACCAACACGGGGCGAGGTGGGTGTGTG